CAAACCCACAGGCTGCACATAACACTGATTGCTTTTGATAGAAATAAAGAATATCTTGCTGTTTCCATCAAGCCTTGAAACTGACTTCCAGCTAATGACCCAAATAAACTGTACTTGAAATTGTATAATTGAGATCGAAGGCTGTCTGGGGCTTCTGCTTGGGATATAGATTCCACATCCATGAGCTTTTGAGTATGGTCATTGAGCTGAAATGGAGAAGGTTAAAACTCTCATTTTCATTACCAAACACCCCCATCTCCCAATACAAATGTGACATTTCAATTTTGCACAGTCCAACTCTTCTTAAATCATCTGTATAAAAACTTCAGATCTTGATTGATGATGGATGAGCTATTGTCTCCTGAAGCACCCAGTTCTCATTACCCTTTAAGACAGAGCTTATTAATGATGGACCTGAAGTGCTTTCCCAGTGGGTCATCAGCAATGAACTGTGCTGTGAGGGCTCAAAAGACTTGGTTTGGCATGAAATTTCCAGGCCTAAGCTGTTTTCAGATGCTGCATTCAGCATCTTGGGTTAAACAGGAGAAGAGATCCCCATCACTGGGGTGTTTGTGGTAAAAATGCAGCACTATCACCCTGCAAAGGTGCTTCAGCTCCCGTGAGGCTGACCTTGGGAATTCAGTGTCATCAGCATGTGTTATATAATACATACATGCAGGATATTCCTCTATATGGTGGGGTATAAAAGACAGCTGCTGCCTTCATAGCCAGCTTGAAAGGTGTAAGCTGTATTCTGGTTTGCTTTTCAAGTGGTTAGAGTGGACCTACCCAGTTTGTCCTAATTAACTCCCTCCCCTTTGCCTGCCCACTTCAGAGCTAGCTCTTTTCCCTCTCACCATGCCATCTTCCAGTTCCTAGTGCCAGCTGATTTTGTAACACCAGGGAAGAGCTTATAATTTGCAACCTGGAATAGCAATAGCCATTTTATAACCATTTTTGTAACAATTTTAGAAACAGATTCTACAGCTACATAGATGTTTACAACTCCCACTGTATATAAACATACACGAGTAACTTTCACTCCAGGATGCATTAGAGAATGAAAACATGTTTTGCCAATTTAACCCACGTTAGAAATTGCATAGCAGACCATGAGGGATTACACTGTATATCAAAAAAAAAGCCAGCTCAATAAGATGCCCTTTTAACAGATGGAAGAAGAAAAGTGGTTTTCCTCTCTGGTCTAAGCAGACACCACCCTTGCAGAGCCAGTGTCCGTTTGCAGTGATTGTGTGCTTCTGGTGGCTGATAATGTGCTTTTAGTGACTTCAGCCAAGCTCTGAGCCCCTTTTTGAGCTTGCCACACTAAGAATGAGCTGTGTGTGGTGTACCTGTGTGTGTGTGTTCCTGGCACTTCAGTGTGAGGTGCTTGTGTTTCTTGGTTGCCAGAGACCTGTACCTCTCCATCTCTCCTGTTAGCATTGTATGGTAGGTTACCAAAGTCTGTGGGAATGTTTTACTAGGCTAATGAAAGCAGGAAAACAGCCGCTATAACAGCAGATAATACATTTCTGATGTATCTTCCTGAGTAAATAACCATTTAAGAGAATTTTAATAATATGCAGATCAAAGTTCCCCACAATCATTTGAGAGTAATAAGCAAAATAATGACAGAATTCAGTGGCAAGGACACATGCTGATTTATTTTTGTGTAACTTTGGCTGCAGAATTATACTGCTTTTAAGCCAGTGGAGTAGTTCTAATAAGGAAGATAAGATTTGTCCTTCACTTCAGAATCAAGTGGCAAAAGCCCTTGGTGCTACTCCTTTGCTCAGGGCACGGGGCTGCAGCGCTGGTGCCAGCCTAGGAGATCATGGTACTCTGAAGAGTTGCACCTTCCAGAAAGATGTCCAAAGTTGTCAGGCACTTCTAGGAACTCTTCCCAGTGAAAGCTAGTGGGTCTTGTGCTTAGAAATCCCCTTTTGTACCTGGATGTCCCTGAGCAGGGTGGAAGCCCAAGGGTAGCACTTGCTGCTAGCAGGGTCATACTTGCACTAACAGTTTTCCAGTGTCACAAAAAATTGGTTTAGAAGACAAAAATACTACCCCCAAATGGTATTTAAAATGTTTCGCTCTGAGCAGTCTGGTTTGGGGCTTCTCTGGCAGGAACTGGCTTCTTTGTTCACAAAATTCACTCAGGGACTTGGCATTTTCTCTTCTGCTCCAGCCTTGGAAAGAGCTGAGCACAGAGACACCTCAGGTGTTGCACACAGGAGAAGAATCCTCTTTTTGTCTGGCTTCCATTGCTGCCTGCACAGGCAGAGATCCTGCCTTTCTCCTCCTGTTCATTGTTTAACTTTATCTCCCACTTTCAGGGCTGTAAATTAAAATGAGATGATGACTTTATGATGATGAGTTCATTATACAGCAGCTCTATTGTATATTGATTACAGTTGTGCTTCATTTGCTTAACATGTAACAGAGTTTATTAGCTCTTCCCAGGCATTGTTCTTGCTAAGAGAGGGCAAAGAAGTGCAAAATGCATTTTGAGTTGAAGTCAGTGAAGCCAATGCGTCTGTGCTGATTTACACACACCGAGGACTTGGTGTAAAGAAAAGGAGGATAGGTTGGATTGGGAAGGTGGAGTGGAAATGAATCTGGGGCCCAGAGAGCAGGAAGAGTCAAAAACAAGTGCTCTAAAGCTTGTACTAAACTTTGAACTCAGTGTCACTTCATATCCACAAGAACACACTTTTTATATTAGTCAGGTGTGTTTGCACCTCAGCACCTCAATAACCTGGAAACTTTAATTCTGTTACTGGTGAAAAATGGTGCAGTGCAGGGAAATTGGAGGGACTGTATCCCATTTTTGGGAAGAAGCAGCAGAAACAGCACCTGTTATTCAGTGATGAGGCAAGTCAGAGCATTTTTATGCTTACTTTTAGTAAATCACAGTGGAAGCTGTTGGCTTCCCTGAAATACAGCATATGATACACTTCCTGCTTACCTTCATGCTGAAAAAAAGATCTTTCTCCACAAATTAAAACTATTAGAATTACTTTTAGATTGAGATCCTGCTATACAAGAATGTATCAAAGTTCCTAGCAGGAAAGAAATTTGGATAGGCATTGTCATGAGGGGATGCTCTGAAACCCAGAAATTGTGCCAGCTGACAGAGGAACTGTGTAGAATTGTGTGTGGGAAATGGGCTTGAAGAGATTTTTCAAAGCTTATAATGTATTGTAATTAGAAAATAGTTGGCTTCTGAATGTAATAGCATGAATTATAATATCTGTATTATGTCACCCTTCACATGAGATTGAAAATAGAATAAAAGTTTTTAAAACACAGTTACCCCATCTCTAAGTAAAAAAAAAAAAAGCTTAATCTAACAGTTGTGTGTGTTCAAGAAGCAATAAATGCAGATTTTTCACTGTTTTAATGTTATTTTTAATCAAAATCTGGGCCATAATGGATTAGGTAATCCAGTATAGCTGAGACAACACAGAGAAATCATCACTGATCATGATTTCAGGTGTTCTTCCAAGACCCCCTTTATCCCCAGAGCAAAATTGTTAACAGATGCTGTATGTTTTTTTCCTGTGATCATAAGAATATTATACAGACAGATCATTGCTATGTCTTTAATCTGGACTGTTTTTCTGGAGCAGATTATTATCATTGTTCTCATTTATAAGCCCCTTTTCAATGAAAAGCCAAGCTTTTAAACCAGAGGTTTCTAAGAAATAGTAATACTGATTAATATGGTGGGAAGATGTATTTACAGATGATCCTTAATTTAATACATTCCTTGATTGGGGGCTGCTTCATTTACATGCTGTGACCTGGAAACTCTGAAATTTAAAAAAGAAATAGAACACAGTGATGTGTGTAAAGGTTTTGCATTCCCACTCCCGCTTTTAAAACGTTTTCCTGGCAGATGAGGATTCTCAGACTACCTTAATTGCTACTACCAAAGTCAGGAATTATTCTTAATGTCTGTGTGTGGCACTCCTGGCTCTGCAGCACCACTTCATGTCATTCCAAGGTGTCATTAGTAACTAACCTTCAGCATTTCTCTGCTGAGGCTGGAAGCTCTGACACTGACTCACATTTCCTGTTAACTTTCATCAAAGTCACAGGCATTGTCTGCTGCTTTGGAAATAAAAGAGACAGGTTAAGTAGAGGAATTGTGAATTTGAACAAGGGTTTAGGGGATAAGAAGAAAAAAGTTTTTGATCCAAAGGAAAGCCTGGTGCTATAGCCAACAACTGTTAGATCATTTTCATGTTGAGATTTGATGAATCAAGTCTTCAGAGACAGGGCAGCAGAGCAGGTTTCTAAACAAACTGCTATCCATGTGAAAATAAAAAGAAAATCCAAAAACCCCAACAAAACACACGAAAGCCCCACAACTTAGGAAGAAACCACAAACTTTTACCTGTTTAAAAACCATCTGTAGCACAAAGCTTCCAGCAAGGCATGTCCATAAGAGGTTTGGATCATAGTGTGTGAGATTTGGACAGTTGCTTGGAGTATTGGGGTGTTTTGGATGATGGTATTACAGCAGCCCAGGTTCTTATATAACATTTTCTCCAGACCTCATCCTGCCTGGCCCTTCTCATGTCCTATGAGCTCATCACAGCATGGTTCTTTATTTTAAGTTTTAAGCCTTTCTGCAAATTAATGAAATGCAGTATAGTGTGATTGATTGCTTGTGTTTTTCAAGTCATTTAAGTGCTGAAGGTTATTTTACCTACAAAATTCAAAACTGTTCCATACATGATCACACTGGAACAAAAAGTAAACAACTGTGTGTCAGTCTTCATCAGGTTTCCTCTGTATGTGAATAAAGGATTCCTGTTTACAAATACTGTGAGCTGCTTATCCTCCAGTTTTCAGATTATTTAATAAGATTACAGTCAGAATTTTCTTTTGCATTTAAATTTCGTGCCCTCTCTCCAACACACATTTAGCAGTAGATTGAATCAGCTGTCTGAAGCTTTACAAGTATGTTGTTCTCTTGTTCTTGTGCACAGAGATACTGAATGGAGGGGTGTATGTTGGCCAGAACAAATTCCTCTGCTTTGCAGACACCATTCATTGGCAAGACATCGTGCGGAACCCCTGGGCCTCCAACTTCACTCTGGTTCCAACCAATGGCAGCTCAGGATGTAAGTACTGCTTTTATTCTCTGCCTTGTCATCCCCTCAGCATGAAACTGGATAAATGTGGCCACAAGTTTTCCCTGATCCTCTGTTACGGAGAGTTATGATGGTAAATTTTCCTAAGTTTGTTTACTTCTTGGAGGACCACTTAGTCTGTTCTCAAAAACAGTGTCCACAGAGGGTATTTGTGAACATCATAGATTTTCTGAATTTTCTCTCATCTGTTTTCTTTCTTCTGCGTTTTCTTTTTCTTCTTTGTTGCTAAAGCCACTGTGGTGCTGTGGAAGCACAGACATTCTTGTTTGCTTTGCATTTGTTCCTGCTGCTCAGGCTGGTCCTTGAGCCACAATGGTCTCTCTGTAGCATCATAATTAGCTGCTGGAGTAATTATGGTAAAAGCTCATGGATATTCTGACTTTAGATGAGAAGTGAACCTCAAAGAAATAGTTATCCTGTTTTCTTGTGTGTATATTGCTGAAGAGAGAGAATTTGCAGAGGATGGGGTGTTCTTCACAATATAATAAATCATTCTCTGCTTTTTACTACATTTTCTTTGTTTTAATGCTTTCCATTCCAAACTTGAAATATCTGTGTGCTTAGAGTTTTTCTATTTCCCTTCCCAAGAATTATTTGCCTTGAGTGAATCATTCTTATGATTCTTGCAGCAATAATGGATTGTAGTGAATGGTGGTGACAGGGATACAGAGTGTTTAAGCAAAATATTCCATAATGGAGTAAAGTGCATTCAGAATGAATGCTGTGCTGTTAAACAGTACCCTCAGGATGTACCAACACTGAAATTCAGAGTCAGGCTGGGAAAAAGTTTATATCACATGTCAAAGGTGGCACCACAGTAGACATATTGTTCTGAGCATTCCAGATTTGGGGACATTTTGGATTGCTTTCAATATCTGAAGGTGTCCCTTGAGGATGTATAAATGACACATTGCCTCTCTAAATTTCACTACAGCCAAGAAACATTTCATTTCTTCTGTTGTATGGTGGCAACTCAGAAAAAAAATAAAATATTGAGACTCTGGATAGGGACCATTTGATGAGTCCCCATAATTTCTAAGCAGCAACTTGTTTTTAACCAGGTGCTTTGTGGTGCAATAGATTTTATAGAAGGCTGCCTTGCTTTTGTATATCTCATCTGCTCCCCTTAATACCAGAGCACAGGTACTTGTGATAAAGCTTCCTTCAGGAGCCTGCCAAGCTGCACTGCTCCTCCACATCCCAGCTCCAGAGCTGAGCCTCATCCCTTCTGCCTTCTGGCTGGAAACCTGACATAGTTGTAATGCAGCCAGCTCTCTTTATTTGCATCTTAAAAACCCTCATCACTGCTGATGATCAGTTCTAGGCAGAGCTGATGAAACCTTTGAAGGTGAGGGAATGCCTGTACCCTTTTATGAATCATTGCTTCAAGAAAAAGACTTGGTTCTTACTCTGTTTTGTTCTCTTATTGGGTTTTCTTTTAACCTTTCCCAGTTCTTCAAGACAAATGCTTTTGCTCTTTTAAAAAAGCAACCAAGATCAATACTCTCTTTTTGAGGTAACAGAAGTTCTACAGATGACTCCAGAAGAACTGGAACAAGATCCATTCTGAGTACTTTTAGAAACCCACTCTGAAAGCAAAGGAGGCGGATGTTAGTGCCCACACACAGCTAGATAAAAGGGTGTGTGTAGCAAAGTCCAGTTTTCTTCAAACTTTTTTTTATTCCTTTTGAGTTGCTTTGAAATATAGGGAAGGAACAATTTGTGCTTTGCCATTTGTATTTGATAAATAAGATAAACAGCCTTTTTTCAATGATGATGGAGAGCTATGTACCAAGTCAGCTTCATTAAGATAGCCACACAAATTTTACTTTGTTTTTCCTTACTTGGGATGAAGCAGTGCACAACTAGACTGTATTTAACTTAATAAACATAAGAATCTTCTGAGAAACTCGATCCCATCTCAATACAATTCACGAGTCCCGTGAAATTTGATTAAATTAGCTAATCCAAACCATTTGTCTTCACAGCTTGCACAGGTGAAAATATAAACCCCATTATACAAAAAGACAGCAAATGCTTAAAAAGGTCCTAAGGCTTTGGGTAGCAAAGAACTCAGGTACAGAAATCACCATTTAAAGTAGTCTGTAATTAAATACCTGTCTATGTGTGGGTGCATGCATGTACTGTGCACACACATAGGACTTGGAGAAATGAACCTTGAATTTTAACCCTGGAAATTGGTATAGAATCTCATTAAATAAGGTATATGCTTCTCAATTTTGGTTCACTTGTCACTTTTCACTACCTGCTAAAGGAATGTGAGTGCTTGCTGTGCCCAGCCTTGCTTTTCTCCGCTGCTGCAGATGATGCTCAGTGCATTACAAAGTTCTTTTCTGCACAGACTGTGACTCAGGCTTTTCTGGATCCAGCATGTGTATGTATTTACTGTTTAAGTCTTGGGTGTCTCCTAATTTCCAACAGAAATCTTGGCTAAATCCACTGGAATACAGAAGTACGTGTTGCTTGGCATTATTGAGCATATCCCAATGTCAAAATATTTTGGAAAGAACTACTGGATTTTACTGTTTATCTACAAACCTTTGTAGGAGGGAATGTGAACCAACCAAACCTGCTGTGTGAAGCTCAGCAAAGTCCATCCTAGCAGTAATTTAGGGAAATCTGTGACATCCTTTAAGACCTGGCTAGCAGCATCATGTATCACATTTAGCCATGACTGGCAGGACTGGAGGGCTCCTTTTACCCCAGGAATTGTGAGGGCAGTGGTCCCTCACTGTCATAGTTGAGACAGAGACAATACAAAGCAACACACTCCATTTTCAGAAGGTTTCAAACCTAGTTTTATTATAGCATGCATGCTTTTTATACATTCTTACAAAACCCCTAAGTTTATGCTTTACTCAGTGGTCACCAGAGACAAACAAAGTGCTCATTGGAATAGGCACTTGCAGGTTTCTCTTACTTATCCTTCTTTCACTCTTGGTTTCTATGTCAACAACCTTGTAGAAAATTATTTTAGGGGTAAACATGGATCCTCTTATCAGACTTCTCTCTGGCTCACAGAAGTTGCTGTAAAACCTCTCCCACAGCTGGCACAGAATACATGCAGGGACAGAGGCTGTGACCCTCCATGGGTGTCAGAATTTGTTACCTCATCCAAACACAGTTTGACACTCTGGCATCACTGGTGTTGTTTCCAAAAAAAACAAACCTGCCCAGAGGTGCCTACATGCCCAAAAGAGGAGTGCCCAGCCCAGAGAAGACCCCCATGCTTGCTGGGCTTTGGCCATGGCCAGAGTGCCTGCAGCAGGTTGATGTGAATGCAGTGTCACACCAGGCACCAGCGTGTGTGGGAGCTCAGGCACAGCCCTGCAGGGAGCTGCCACTGCAGGTGCCCATGCTGTTCCCTTCCCCAGCCAGCTGGGAAAGCTGATAATGGTCTGATTTCAGGGATAATTTCACTTGAACCCTCTCTTGCTGCTCCACTGCAATCAGCAGAGGAAGGCAAAAGGGTGGAGTGAAAGGAAGAGGCTCTGAAGTAAAATCAGTCCCCTGCCTCTGTGGCTATTTCACACCTTGGGTCTGCCAATTCTGGTGTGAGAAATAGCTACTCACTTTTCATAGTTTAGGAAGGTTTATTAAACCTTATCAAAAATACAACAGAAGACTGGATAAAGAAAAAAGGTTATGGTGCTGGGAGCAAAAGATTTTCCCCACCATGTGCTCAGCCCCCTCACAATGGAGGTTTTACCCTTTTTAACCCTTTAACCCCTCTCAAAGTTCCGTCCATCAACCCCTTCTTTGCTGTCCAGTGGTGATCTCTTCCTCAAATCCTGATTGGAGATCAGATGTCACCTTAGTGGCAAGCCAGCCCTCCCAGATGTCCCAGCTCCAGCTGTCCCTTGATAACCATGGGAGGGGGTACAACATGACTATAAATCTATAAAACTTTTCTTAACCTATATACATGATATTTGTCCATTAATTCTGAGAGTCAATCACAGCATTACTCATCTATCACACTGGCAATCTCCTTCATTCACATCAGTGCCAAACAGAAGGGAATATGGCCAGTGAACTCTGTGGCTAAAGCTCCTCTGATTCCCTTCTTCATTGTCACATCAGTGCTGAGGAGCCTGTTGAAAAGGCCATGGTGTCTTAAACACTGACAGAAATCCTGCAGACATGTGAATCCTGAGTTCTGCTTCTCCTTTTTTCTTGGAGTTCTGATCAAATGCATGCAGGAGAGCTCATGTTGGAGGCCTCTGAGTGACACAGTGTCACCGTTCAGTGGCTGCTGACTCAGTGCTCAGATAAACAAACCCTGCACCAGGGACCACACGTGCTTCAGCTCGCCCTGGACACAGCCTCTGTGCCTGGCATTTTGACTCACTCACACACACACACTGAAATATTTACACCTCCCAGTAATAGTAGCCTCCTCGAGCCAGGTCTCATAAGCTCTTGGGGGTCTATTACTCACCCAAGATAGCTCAGCTACCTTTGGAGGCTTAAAATCAGCAGGATGTCTTTTGTGTTGCAGTGTTGGGAACAAAAAGGTTTAATAAAAGGCAAAATAACAAACAGAGAAAAACCCAGCCAGGTGCAAGAGGTTCTTGCTCCTGGTAAAACCCCTCACAAAAGCCATTGGTTTCTTTGTTCTCTTCTTTTTCTAGTAAATTGCCCAGGTGGGACTTTTTGGCTCCTGTCCAATTGGCTATCCTTAAGTTTGAGGTGAAGTTCCCAGGCCTTTGAGATGCCTTTTTCACCTAATTGAGGAGAGAAACTTCTGGGCTTCTTTCCTTTTTGAGGGGACAAAGGATAGTTTTGTTACTCTGTCAACAGGGGGCACATTCCTATCCCTTCCCATTCTGCCATCTCGTAGCTGAAGCTTTTGGAATTAGTGCTAACTTGAAAGCAGCCTTCTCTTGTGTTTACCTGAATTCTGTGCTGCCAGCCTGGGGTTTTAGGCTGAGCACATCGCAATGGGA